GTTCATCCAGCTCTACACCTTGTTATCTTAGTTTCCTGTGTTCTGCCTCCCTCCCTGCTTAAAGGGGTTTTAAATTAGCTGTTTTACAGTCTTCTGGGACCCTTTTTAACTCCAGTGATTCATGAAAGATCACCACCAATGTCTCTACAGTCTCCTCAGCTATCTCCTTCAAAACTTTGTGTTGTAGTCCACCTGTTCCAGGTGATTATCCAGTTTCAGACCTTCCTGCGGCATCATCTCGTTAGTGATGGCCACTACATTCACCTCTGCCCCTGACTTTTGAAGTTCTGGTATGCTGCTGGTGTCTTCCACTATGAAGACTGATGCAAAGAGTCTATTCAATTCCTGTGCCATTTTTTTGTTCCCCAGTATTACTTTTCCAGCTTCACTTTCTCGCAGTCTCACATCCTCTCTTGCCTTTTTCTAAAATAGCCCTTGCAATCTTCTTTTATATTACTAGCTAGATTATCCTCATATTTCATAATCTTCTCCCTTTATGCTTTTTTTGACTTGAAACTTCAATTATTTTTCGTTCTCCACAGATGCTGCCAGAACTACTGAGTTTTTCCAGCACTTCGATTTTATTTCAGAATTCCAGATTCACTGTGTTTTGCTTTCATTTTATGTTCAATAATATATTCAGTTGTGTTGGATTCTTTTTCTAGGGGCTGAAGAATGTAGAAGGAACCATGAGACCCTGATCTGTCCTCTTTGTAGAGCCAAATGGAAGTCCCGAGAACTGCACAGGTAAGAAAACTGCTTTATGAAATAAGGGTTTAAACTACTTTAGTTATGAAATGTTGCAGTTTACACTTTAAACCTTTGAATGGATATTGTAAATTTGAATAGATTATATCAAGTGAAAATATTTTTGTGGTATTGTTGAGGACTAAGAATACTCCATATTCCTATACAAGATTGAACGGTAAAATCCCACTCCTTTCTGTTCTGAACTAGATTTTTACTGCTAGAATTTGCTACACCGTTCAACTGTTGCCATGAAAATTTAGAACATTAACCTTGTCAGGATACTCAAAAGGTTCTTTTTAGCTCGATGCCCATCACCACTTTAATATATTATTTAAAGCAAACTGTGTGATATATCTGTATTTGTCACAGATTTTACACTGCTTTTGATACTTTGAAGATACATATTAATTGTCAAAAACCTGGAATCATGGTTTTTAACTAATCCATTAAGCATGACCAATTATTACAAACGAGTTTCATAATTCTGAATTGATTAGTTAAACAAATGCTCTTCACTGCATAAACATATTCTCCTCCCAATGGTTTCACTGTAGCTTTAACAAATTTTGAACTTGTTTGTTTTGTTTGTTTGTTTAATCTTGGGATTCTAACTAAATTTAGGTATTGTGACAGGGTTTTGGAAGACTTGTAGATCATGAAATCAAAGGATATCAAAATCAGAGCTTGAGTACTTGAAAGTCATTTCTTCAAATAATCATTGCAATAAAATCTTAATTCGTTCAGTGCTTTCTTCATTGTATTTCACAATGCCATTTTATATTTCTGCCTTAAAAAGCCATCAATCTCAAAGTTCAGTGCATAATCAGACTCCGTCGCTGGAAGTAGATCCACAAAGACGGCAGCAGGACAATGACTTCAATCTTCGTCATTATGGGGTTCAACAAATCCCACAAGGTTATAAAGAGTTGGCAGAACCCTGGATTCAGGTGAGGGCTTTTGAAAGCTTAAGTTGTTTTGTGCAAGGCCAGTTGTTGCTTCTGTTGGGAAAATGAAAATTAAACCTAAATTGCTACTATGAATTTGTAAAACTCCGATCTCGTGTTATCGTATTACTGAAATTTTTCAAAGTGGTGAACAGTTTACATGGTAAACCCAGCATTGATCCCATTTTCGGTCACCATTATTTTTCAATTGATGAATTCTATTCTTTATTCAAATGTGTCTTGTTTATAAAAGGAAGTGATTTAGAACTGCATGCTTGGTCTGTTGCTGTAATTCTGTCCATTTTCTTATTTAGGTATTTGGAATGGAACTGGTTAGTTGTCTCTTTTCTCGGAACTGGAATGTACGAGAGATGGCATTAAGGCGACTTTCACATGATGTTAGTGGAGCCTTGCTGTTGGCAAATGGCGAGATTCGTACTGGAAGTTCCTCCTCTACTAATGGAAGTGACACTGGATCTAGTAGTCTGCCAGGAGCCAATGGGTCATCTCAGATTGATCTCTCAGGAGACGTGGTGGTGGAGTCATGTTGCAGTGTACTATCTATGGTCTGTGCTGATCCGGTCTACAAAGTATATGTCGCTGCTTTGGTAAGATACTAATCATTTCAAGTCTAAAACGCAATATGACATTGTTGATACAAAATGTCCAGTCTTTAAGTTGCGGAACCTGGGCAACAATTTCGAATCATTCAAATCCGCAGTTTGACTGCCCAGTTTGCTCCAGTGGGCTAGATTATTCACATTCACTTAATCTAAATGGATGCAGATGAAATTCACGTCCGTTAAAATGGCTTTCCACTTGAAGTTTGGTGCCCAATTTTAAATTGTAAGCTTAACGTGGTAATTTCATTATTTTTCTGACTGGTAGGAAGCGGGGGCATCATGTAACCCATTTTTGGTACATTGAATTTAATTTTTATGCGGTTTAATTTTTGCTTTCCTAAATAAACAATGCTGAGAATTACTCAACATCAACAGGCAGACATTTAACTTATTCCTGTGGCATTTTGTCTTTAATGTTAAGTAAGTTAATGTCTGTTTTAGAATAGCAGACTGAGAAATGTTGAGTGCATTGTTCTGTACTGCAGAAGTCATTTCCGGCCTTCGATCTTTTCAAATGCAGAGTGTGTTTTAGATTCTGGATTGTTCCCCTTTCATCATTCCCTTTTTAACATTGTCCATTTCTTACTCTTTATTTCTGTGATTTTTTTTTTTTTTTTTGCTGTTACCATTGTGTAAATCAAAATCTTCTGTTTTATGGCTTTATTTCATTACTTTGTTTTCAATTTTGCCTTTACCTATAATGAACTTAACCTTCCAGTTGTCCACTTTTTAATTATTTGTGATCTATTTCCACAGACTTGATGTGACTTAAATCAGTTCATCAGTTCAAACTACAACAAGAATTATGACAGATAACAGCACCTATGTTTTTAATTATTTCTCTGCCACCAGTGATAACATGAAGACGCTATTTTTTTTGAAGTCACAGATTAAATTAATTTAAGCTGTCTTTAAGTAAAAGTTCATGGGATACTAGGTTTTTACAAGTGGATGAAGTGCAAAAGTAAAAAGCTAAAGCTATGTCTGTAGAAATCATTGGTTAGGTGTCAATTATGCTAATTTAGGTAGATTACTGTTTATCGAGTATTTGGATTTGTTAAAAGCTAAGAAGCTTTAGTTATGAAGTAAAACCCACAAGACCAGAGCATAAAAAGGCCATTTAGCCCTTCCAGGCTGCTGTACCATTCAGTGAGATTATGCCTGATTTGATGATTCTCCACTCCACTTTGCCTTTTCCCCACATCTCTTGATTCCCTTACTGATTAAAAACTTGTATAGCTCAGCCTTGAATGACCCTGCCTTGACAGCTGTCTGTGGTAAAGAATTCTACAAATTCACTACCCTCTAAGAGAAGAAATTCCTCATCTGTTTTATATGGATGACACCTTTATTCTGAGATTAAGTCCTCCAGCCCTAGACTCTCCAACAGGGGAAGCAACTTTTCTGCATGCAACCTGCAAAGACCCTGAGTGCATGCCCAACCTACTCGACCTCTCCTCGTAAGGCATTTCCTCCATTCTCAATATCAACCTGATGAACCTTCTCTGGACTGCTCGAGCTATATTTATCTCCATGAAAGCACACACTATTTTGGTGTCAGCTACTTCCTGATTGAGTGAATTCCACAGGCTCACCACTCTCTGCATGAAGAAATTTCTTCTCATAAGTTCCAAAAGGTTTAACCCTTATCCTTGAACTGGTTCTGGACTCACCACCATCAGGAGTATCCACCCTGCATCTGACCTGCCTAGCCCTGTTAGAATTTCATAAGTTTCTGAGATTCCCCACTCATTCTTTTAAACTCCAGTGAATGCAATCCTAGCCAACTCCATCTCTGCTCATAGGTCAGCCCTGCCATCCAAGGAATCAAGTTGGTAAACCTTCAAAACACTCCCTCTATGGCAAGAACATCCTTCTTCAGATGAGGAGTCCAAAATGCACGTGGTATTCTAGGAATAGACTCTCAAATACCATGTACAATTGCAGCAAGATTTTTTTTTTTGTTCCTGTACTCAAATCCTGTCAAGATGAGGCCCAACACACAAGTTGCCGCCTTTATTGCCTGCTGCATCTACGTGCTTACTTTCAGTATCTGGTCAACAAGGGCATCCAGGTTTTGTTGAATATTCCCCTCCCTCAATTTATGGCCATTCAGATAACAATTTGCCTTCCTGTTTTTGCTACTAAAGTGGATAATCTCACATTTATCCACATTATATTGAATCTGCTATGCATTTACCCATTCTCACTCTACCTGTCTAAATCACATTGCAACATTTCTGCATAGTCCTCACAGCTCACCCTTCTACCCAACTTGTCTTGTATGCAAATTTTGAGTTAATGCATTTAATTCCCTCATCTAAATCTATAACATAATGTTATGGACCAGACCAAACCCACCCCACACCCCAAAAAAATGCACGTCAAGAAGATAGCCTAGAACCTAACTTTTTCTAATTTTAAGGGCAAGTACCAGGCATTGCATTCCGGATGCAATTCGATTGGTCAAATTAACAGGGTTGAAATAAAACACACTTTTTATTCATACACTATGATTAAAAGGATTTTGAGTAACTTGATTCCATTGGATAATGTAACAGAATGATAAAATATTTGACTATTAAACAACAACTGTTCCAATATTGTAACTTCCCATAAACACACACTTGGCAAAGGCAAGTTCAGTAAAATAGATTGCCTTGCTTGGAATTCTAGAAGCAGGAAGAGAACCCAAGCTTTTAGCTGTAACAGAGAAAAAAGCTTCCACATCTGGCATCAAGACCCCGACAATTGCTACTGAAAGCTAAAGTAAAAACCCTGGTTCTGTGGGTGCTTGGCCCCAACCAATTAGGCTGCTTCTATTGTTCAACGTCTTTTGAAAAAGGCACTTGGCACCTCTGTCTCAACTTCTCATCATTATATAAGAGAAAGGACAAGTACACCTTTTAAAAGCCATAATGTCATCACAGTATATTATAAATAAATGGAGTCCTAGTACTGATCTATGGGGTACCCACTAGTCACTGCATCTCATTCAGCAAAAGGCACTTTTATTCCTACTTTGTTTCCTCTTTGCTAACCAATTTTGTGTCCATCACAAGGACTACCCCAGTCCATGTGCTTTAATTTCCCACATTAACTTCTTATGTGGGATTTTGTTGAAAACCTTTTAAAAGTCCAAATAAACCACATCCACTGGCTCCCTCTGATCAACTCTATTAGTTACTTCCTTGAAGAATTCCAGTGGATTTGTCGTGCAGTTCCAGTGTAAGGAACCAAAACTTTTCACGGTATTGCAGGTGTCGCCTAACTAGTCCCTTGTATAGTTTTAGCAGGACATACCCAATTTTATACTCTAATCACTTTGAAATAAAGACCGACATTTCATTTGCCTTGTTACCTGCTGAACTTTTTATGCTAGGCCCCCAACCCACAATCTAAACCCCACCTTCTATTAGTTAGCCAGTCCTCTATTCATGCTAATGTCCTGCCCCCAACACCATGGGTAATTATCTTAAGTAGCCTAATGTGTGGAACCTAATCAAACACCTTCAGAAAGTCCAAATATATTGTGTCTACTGCTTCCCCTTTGTGTCTATATTGCTTGTCACCTTCTCAAATAATTCAATTTATTATAAATCAGATTAGTGATACTAGAGAGAACCTTTTTCGTTTGTATGAGGAAGATTGAGATATGATTCAAGTTCAAAGTTTTTGGAGGTACTGAGGTAAATGGAAAGAAACTATTTCCAATGATTGACTAGTAACTAAAGGAATAAATTTTTAAATGGTTGCCAAAGGGTAAAAGTGGAAAAAGATGTTTCATAGGTAATAGATCTTGGTATAGTATATACAAAATGCTGATGAAAGCAAAATACGTGATAGCTTTTAAAAAAAGAAATGGGTTAAATTTTTGAAGAATACTTAAAGTCCTTTAAATATTTAATGGGATTGTAGGTGGCTCAGGGCTAGCACAGATGTGTGCTGATTGGCCTCCTGTAATGTATAGTTTTGTATGTAGCACTGGGAAACAAAAACGGATAACGTTCCTTATCATGTACTTCTAAGGGTGACCTGAAGGACCCCAGTGAACATGTGAACTCATACATGTATTATGTACAGAAGGATGCTGTTTGGCCCATCATGCGCGCATCAGTTCCTTTAAACGAGCAGCATTACCTAGTGCCAATCTCTTTCTTTTTTTTTTCCCCTCCACCCTTGCACAATGCTTGATTATTTAGATAACAAATAAGTAAGAGCATTATTTTTTACTTTTTTTTAAAAAAAGCAGAAGATTGAGTGGTTTTTCTCTTCCCAATCAATTCACTAATACAAATGGATTTTTAACGCTAAAAAAGTTGGGACTGAATTTGATTCTTCAAAAAGTGATCCTGCTTTTGAAAGCTATCGTGCGATTTCTCTTGTAAATTTATTCCATTATAGGCTGATGATAGGAATTTTTTGCTAAAATAAGACCCTCGTTCATGTCATAGAACATAGAACAGTACAGCATAGTACAGGCCTTTCGGCCCACGATGTTGTGTTGACCTATTTTCCTCCTAAGATCAAACTGCCCTGCATACCCTACATTTTACTATCCCCCATGTGCCTATCCAAGAGTCGCTTAAGTCTCTAAAGTATCAGTCCAGTCCAGTCCAGTCCAGTAAAAGTAAAGTTGCCACGGGGCTGCGCACTCATTACAGAGAGACAACTGGCGGTGGTTTAATCTGACAGTCACCATGCCTCTGGCAAGGGGAGAGGTTGAGGAGAGTACTTCATGGTAACTTCTTGCCTCTGAGCTGGTTATACCTAAAAGCTACCTTTGATATGCTGATATTCCAGCAGAAGTACTGACAGAACTTAGTATCTGAAGCATTATCTTTTAGATTAAATCCAGACTGTATCTACCTACATTACTATCCATATGAACATTAAGGATCTGATTGAAGAGCTGACATTCTCTGACCGTAATAAATCTCATTAGGATATCAACAGAGTGCACTATCTGGGCCACATATCTAAGGAAGGATGTTCTGGCCATGAGGGGGCCCAGAGAAGGTTTACTATATCATCCTGGGGATAGAGGGCTTGTTATGAGAAACATTTGGGGAATCTGATTCTCTGGTCAGTGGAGTTGAGAAGGATGAGCAGGGGGATCTCATTGAAGCTTACAAAATACTGAGGAACCTGGATAGAGTGGATGTAGAGAAGATATTTCCACTAGTAGGAAGGACCAGGACTTGAAGGTACAACATCAGACTCGAGGGACAACCCTTTAGAACTGAGACGAGCAGTTTCTTTAGCTAGCGGGTGGTGAGTCTATGGAACTTATAGCTAACTTATAACTAAGATTGAGTAGGTTCTTGATTAGTAAGTGGGTCAAGTGTTATGGAGATAAGGAAGGACAATGGGGTTGAGAAAATTATCAACCATGATCGAATGGCAGACCAAACTCGATGCTGAATGGCCTAATTCTGCTCCTATATCTTAGCGTTTTACAGTCATTATAGGAGACTCATCCTCCAGTAACAAATATTTTAGAAATTGATAGAAGTTGGCTAACAGTTAGCTTCTGATATCCTAGACTTCAAATTGATTCAAGATGGCGGTGGAGTAGCAGGGCTGTGTGCGGGCACTTGCCCGGAGTTCATCTGCTCCCGCAAGCTTGCTTTCTTCTTTCATTCTTTTTATTTCTGCTCTTTTTTATTTTGTTTTTTTGCATTCACTGTTCTTTTCTTTGGAGCATTTTGTGGTGGGTGAGATGGTAAAATCAGCATGGCACCTAGAGCAGACCATGCACAGAATGGCGGCTTCTCCCGGCAGTCAAAGTCAGCAGCAGATGCGGCTCCTTATGGTGACTGGAGGCAGTGGCAGAGGCAGCAACAGGGACGTGCTCCTGGCATTTGGGACTGGAGCGGCGGCAAAGCTAGTGATCAGAGGCAGCAGCGGCAGACTTTTCAAGATGGCAAGGCGACATCTTGAGGAAAGTGGCTGGAGCGGGACCGTTTACGAAACGGCGGTGGTCTTATCTGGGATCAGAGCCAGAGGCTTCTGGTTGCGGTAGATCCAGACTAGGGGCTCCCGACGTTTGCAAGCAGTCACGGCGTGGTATGCCCAGAGCTGGGACTTCTGGTGTCACTGAGCCAGTGGCAGCAGCAGAGCTGGAGCCTCCTGGTTGCGGGGTGAATATGTGTTTAGTACAGGATCCACCATCAGCGGTGGTGTCAGCGGTGAAGAGATGGCATCTAAAGATTGGCGACTCCAATGTTGAAGGGGGTGGTGAGGCACTAGAGATGGTGTCGCAGCGCAGGTGGGGCTGATGAGCTAGTCAAGGACTCTCTTTCAGTTTAAACTATTCAAAATAGCACTGGATTGTGGTGACTGTTGAAGCTTTTCACTGTATTTTACTGTATTATTCACTGTAAAATAGTGACAATAAATAAATTCATTCATTCATCATTTTAAAGTTTTGGTTGGCATTTGTAGTAATTTGTGATGTGACACTTGGGCGTTTCATGTGGCTGATGATGCTTAATAGTCTTATTAATAGTCTTATTAATAGTCTTATTAATAGTCTT